CACTAATCAGATAAATATTCCACTTCTTTTGAATCTACTAGTGTTTGTATATGTTGTGAATTTAGTAATTTTTATTTTGATTTATAATACATAATCCTCACAGGTTACCATTAGTGATTGACATCATCACTGATTATACTGGATGACAGTTGAGTCATATTGTTAATTGAGTGATTTAGATAGATCGATTTGGGCATCCAGATAGTATCCCAGCCGACATGCAAATTGAATGATAACTATTTTCTTGTGGTACATATATATATTTTGGTGCCACATTGTATCAATGTTTATGTATCTAAATAAATAATTATGAGATATGTGGGTCACTGAATTCGAAATTAGCAGTTCAGCACTAATAAACTTATTGAGGGATCTGGAAGACTTAAATTCGATTCGTGGTAAGTCAGTGGGCAGACAATACCAAGGTATTATAAATTGGGATCAAAATATGTTTAATACTGCCTAGTTTTCAATCGTCACCCAGCTGAAATTAGTCTTTGATGAAACCCTATTTGGATTTAAATGACTGAAATAAAGGTACTGATCAAATTTATTGGTTATGCGTCGCTACAGAACTAAACATTTAAATGTAATTGTGTGAATACAAATGCCATACAAATTTTTAAGTTAATATAGCTTAATACGGGCTATTTTCACTCGCATCAGTTCATAAAACACACTTGTAAATATTCTAAAAAAAAACAGTGTTTTAAAGTTTCTTATACAGTCTTTATTATTAAAACTAAGAAATGCTATATACCAACTATGTCAGTTCCACGAGCAAAGTTTTGAGTCTAAAACGATCGATCCTTTTGACAAATTCAAATAATATAACTATCAATGTTCTTTTCTCATTTCATTATCTAAATTTTTTATATTTGATTAACAATACTAGTAGTCACAGTTGTTTTATTTTGAAATCAAACTGTCACAGTAAACTTAAATCAAAGTTATCATAATTTAATTTGAACTCATAGTGTATGATATCATTTTGAAAAGGATATCCTTGAAAGCGTAGTTGAATATGCATCACTTTTAAGACAACATACTTTTTCAAAATCCAAAATAAAGACATGTTACACAATGTGTCAGAGACATGGATTTCATTCATTGATTAAAAACAATATGAAACTATCAAGTTCATATTAATAAATATAGTCAGTCAGTCAGTCAGCTACAACGTAGGACCAGGCACATATATGCATCGGTCCAAGTTACCATACCTCATTAACACAACAAGATGGACACCGGATTCATAAAAGTAGTTAATTCAGAGGTGGTAATATATAAAAGAAAGGTTCCATACAGGGACATAGTACAGGAAGAAAGAATTAGTTCGTAGAAAGAAAGATTTGAAACGATTTAACCTCTTAGTTTAAGGGAAGACAGGGAGTGTATACACCTACGCCATTGTGATCGATTCTGAGCCATGTCACCAATAGTCTCCAACCATTGGTTACGATAGTCACGTGGACCCCAACCAAGTAGTCTGCATCTACCAACATGGCTCAGACTAGAAGTTAGTGTCTCTAAGCATTGATGGCACGTTTTGGTTTGGCCGCCCCTTACTTTCTTCCAACCATCTCCAACACCGGTTAGTATTGTACGTCGTGGTAATCGGTGTTCAGACATACGCAACACGTGGCCCAACCATCTCAGTCAATGAAGATTCAAAACCACATCAACTGATTTACCATCATTCTCTATTACCCTGTATCTGTCTAACCTCACTATTACTTACCCGGTGATCACAGCAGACGCCAGCAATATTTCTAAGGCATCTGTGGTCAAATACTAATAGCTTACGAGTGTCTTCTACTCTTAATGGCCATGTTTCGCTGCCGTAAATTAAAACGGAACGGACTGCCGCGCAGTATACTCGTCCTTTTATTGATAGACGGATATCTCGCCTTCGCCATAGGTGACGCAAGGTGGTAAAAGCCAAGTGAGCTTTTCGAATCCGTGCTGAGATTTCGTCAGACACCAACCCATTAGGGCTGATCAGACTTCCAAGATAAGTGAAGTTGTCAACGCGTTCGACTACTTCACTCCCTATCCTTAGTTCAGGTGTTGACGCAGACCAGTCCTGAAGCAACAACTTGCATTCAGAAGGAGAGAAGCGCATTCCAAACATTCTGGCATTGTTGCTCAGTGCCACCAAAAGACTCTGCATTTTATCAGCGTTTTCGCCAAACAGGACTATGTCATTTGTGTATTCTAAGTCGATAAGTGGACCTCCTGGAAGGAGATCAATACCCGAGTATCCAGTCGACGAGAATGTTGATGAATATAGGATTTCCTAGATCACAAATTCGTTAACTTATTTTTCTTGATAAGAAGTATAGCTTATAAATAAACGTAAAAAAACGGTATTCATATGTCATAACATAAGGTACTTTTAGTTTTTAAGATAATTTAATTGAGCTATACTGAAAGCTACAATGAGTAAACAATTATTTTTATGGGCGTACGATAATTTAGACGTTTATATATATTGAAATGATCTAGTATGTACAGAATGAATGCTTAAAGTAGTACAAATGAACATTTTATCACTTTTGTTGGAATGTAGTTATCATGTTAACAACTTTTTGCTAAGATCTATTGTGTATTGTTACATAATTGTATTTTATTTTTGAAGCTACAGTCTAACAGTCATTTATAATTTTATATTATGTAAAACTGTCAAATTCCTTGTAGTTTATATTAATGAGTGAAAAAGTAATTATTATTAGATTACTTAAGACATTCCATTGCATTAATTAATTGATATTCATTAATATTAGTTATTTCCTTTATTTTCTGATTACATTATTTTAGATATTATTGTTATTGTTAGCTTTATTCAGTGTTATATTTTTGGTACAATATAGAATTCTAAGCACAAACTATTTCAACAAGTTTCTGTTTCTTACTTCTTGGTCAATGCTGACAATAAATATTGAGTGGTCGCCAATTAGAAGTTAGCATTCCAATCATTCGACATTAAATAATATTGACTTTTTTCGCTGCATATTGCCAGCAACTACAATATCTGTTATTGGGTCTTTTGCAATTTGTACGACGAAAGGTTGTACACTTTTCAGAAATGAAACTGAATAGATTATACGATTAGTAGCTATAATGATGTATTAAAACAAACAAGAAAACTTGTTGAAATATCTAGATGGTAAGAGAAGATAGCCTAGATGTTCAAACAAACTGTCATAGATATCATTTTAGCATTTCACATACTACTTTATTATTATTATTATTAAAAATAGTTGTGTGTTTTACGGTGAAAACTAATATGTAAAATATAAACACAATCAATGGATTATTGAAAAAAGTTTTGAGTAATTATCCTTTCATTTAAAAAAAGAGGAATTGCTGTTTTATTCAGTGGAATATAGTGAATACGTTTCTTTGTATTACTGAAATAAAAACTGAAAATTTCAAAGAATAAAAAAGTATTTTGCAAATTTTGAATTGATAAAGTGAACAATTAGGAGGTAGAATAAAACAAAAATCATGGTTACTTTTGTATTTATACACTGTGAATAAAACAATTAATGATCTCCTGAGTTCGAATCTCGTGAAGTGGGATCATGGATGTGCACTGTTAAAGAGGCTCACAATAGGACGAAATGACTGTCCAGTACTTCCTAATTTTACATGATGGTATAGATTCAATTGATACATGATCTCAACTATTAAAATGATCGATCTATCAAAAGTTATATATATGTTTTTTAATGGGAATACATAAAAAAACATTAATATATAAGTTCATGTTACAGGTAAATCGCGTTTATGTAAATCTCAATCTTTATAGCTTTTGAAAAATCTTTTTATACAAACAACTTGATTTATTTCAGCTTATAAATGTTAATGATTACTAGTATAGGGTTGTGGATATTATTAAGCTTTTGATTGAGATCATGAACCGATTGATGTTAGATCACCATTGAAAACCTGAAAGCACTGGAGGACCGTTTCGTCCTATTGTGGGACTCCTCAGCAGTGGATTAGTTGAGGTTAAACATTTACATCACTGGATGCCGGCTGAGTGGTTCGGTAGGTTAAGCGTTTGCGCGCGAGACTGAAGGCCCTTGCTTCGAATCCCTCGAGCGGGATCGTTAATGATTACGTTGATATGAATTAGTTTTCAAACATTTTTTAAAATATCTTATTCAATGAATTTTTTAAGTTGTTTCTAACATTTTAAAACATGTACTTGTTAACATCACACTTCCTAATAAATTGATGGCGTCTTTTTGTCTTTTAGTCACACCTGTATTCATCATACCTGGAAACGGTTATCATCACTATACTTTAATTATTTTTGTATTTCATTTATATTACATTAGTTATTCATTCTAATCTTGACAAATATTCGTAGAAAATATTATTGTTACATATATAATTCAAGCTTTATTTTTGTTTGCGTTTCCCAACTCTGAAAGAATTTACCAAGAAATACAACCTATTAATTCAAAGAAGCATTTGAGTAATACTTTGATTAATGAATTAAATTCTTTGTAAATATATAATTAAATGGTTTATTGGTTAAGCGCTCACGCGTGAGGCGGGGTCGTGGATGTGCACTGCTAAGGAGTCCCACAATAGGATGAAACAGCCATCCAATACTTCCAGGTTTTTGATGGTGACCTAGCTTCAATTAACTTATGATCTCAGATATTGAAAATGAAAAGAATCAATTATTCATTTTAAAATAAAATGGTCGTTTTAAATATGTTAATAATATTAGTAGTACTATTTAGTAAATATAAAATAGTCATAGATAAACTATTTATTTTAAACAGGCATTAGTAGTACAAACATAGTGAAAATTATACAGACATGTATTTTATTAACAGTAACTTATAATTCTATCAATTGTTGCATCAATTTCTAAAATTTCTCTTAGTGGTTAATTGTATTTTTCTAGGGACAGGTACAAAATCTATATAACCCTATGGAAATAATACGTGTTTATCACCTATATTGTATATATGTATCTATGTAACTACTTGTTAAATTATATAAATATATAAGTTGACATATAGGTTTTTGTATAAATATACTTGTGCAGATTCATGTTTGTATACATATCTATATCTAGATATATATGCAGATATATATATATATATATATATATATATATGAGTGTATCTATGCTTCTGTTGTTTGTCTACAATGGGAAAATATTGAGACAGAGCACAGTCATGATATTCATTGATTAGATTATTACAATTGTGAATAAATAGAACCAAATTGTATGGTTTTATCATTCAGACAAATAAATATATATTGAATAAAAAAAAACTAAACAATTATAACATTGAATAGCATTAATCATAAATAGAATGAATACAATATTTGATTAAGATAATGTTTTGATCTATGACAACTTCTAAATGTATATTTTATCATTAGGCAACTACTTCAATTGTTATTATTATTATTAACTAATTAATTAATTGATTAATTAATTAATTAATTAAAAATAGCATAACTACTGTATTTTTTTTCCTACAAAAGAAGATACAATCATCAAATCTATTTTTATATTGATTAATATGTCTCATTATGCTTATCAAATAAACAAACAATCAGTTTAAATGAAACATCCTTATTCATTGAAAAAAATGAATAATAATTATTACTATTATTATTATTATTGTTACTGGAATTATTGAATAAATTTTAAAAAAGAAAACATTATTAGTGAAGTCAAATTGCGTTAATAAAACAAGGTGAGAACAAAAAGTAAACAAAAAACAAACAAACAAACAAACAATCATTCTCTTGAATAAGTCAAGAAAGAAAACGAAACTTCATTTCTCTTGGAGGTGAAAACTTTGGAAATATATACATATATAAATTAATAGTTATAAATATAAGGATTCATAGTTGTTTACATTATCTTATTGATGTCAAACAATAATAATAATAATAATAAAACAAGACGTGATCCTATGAAAATGACAAATATAAATAAATCTAATAATCAAGATGGTGATGCATTAGATACTGTTATTATACCATTAAATTCTTCATCAACATCAACAAAAGTTCATCAAACTAAAAATGGAATTTCTAAATTATTATTTATTCTATTAATTTTATTACTTATTTTAATATTATTATTTTTAATTATTGCATCAATTATTGCAATCTATTATTCAAATGCATATTATAAATGTCAAACAATTAAAGGTTAGTGTAATGATTAATTTATATTAGTTTCAATGATCAATATTTAGGTGGATTTTTTGTTTTAAAAAACTTTAATTTCATTCACTTTATTTTTCCCTTTTTTTGTTGATTAATCAACGTAAAACTGTTAAACATTAAAGAGGAAGGATGTATTTGTGAAAATTCAGCGAAAGAATTTGAAGTAAATCCAACGTCCTTGAAAAAGCTTTGACCAGATCGCCAGGCGAAACGTTGGATTTACTTCGAATTCTATAGCTGAGATTTTACAAATACGTTCTTCCTCTTTAATATCTCACATTAACTCAGCGCCCAAATATTGTGAAACTATTCGATCAAATTTTGACGAAAGTTCTTATTTATTATTTTGTAAAACTGTTAATATTAGTGAATTCTCATTTATTTAAAGTTGCTGAGGACTATCCATCTCAATAGTGAGTTATAATCATCACTTCATATACAGATGGAGTATCATTTCATTAAGTAGGACATTTTTAGTTTTTCATTTAAGGCACTAAATTCATTGAATGAATTATCATTCAACCTTTTTGAACACTCATGGTAGACAGTAAATAATATAATGTGAAATGAGTAGGTTGTTTGATGAGAGATATTCTGTTATCTTATTCTTCAAAAAGTGATTGGGATTATATATACTTATCAGTAGTAAAATTGAAGATTATCAAAGTCCTCATTTATTAATAAAATCACTAAAACCTACCAAGATAAAGAACTAAACATGAATGAATGGTGATGTCAATATGTGTTCTTTTAGTTACTCAACTGGTGATTATTTTAAACTCTATTCATCAGTTTCAATGATACATGTTTTATTCAATCTTACCATTACTAGATTTCTGATGATAAATTGTAAGTTTCCAAGTTTCATGTCGTATACATAGTTTGTTGTATATAGAGTTTCAACCATATCAGCTAATTCATGCATACCTGTAAACTAAAATCAACACTAGCACAATGATCTTTATTTAATAGGCATGAATATAAAATGAAAGTTACACTAGTTTCTTCTACTATTTTCTAACGTGCACTACGTAAATAATTTAATTATAATAATAGACCTTTGGCGTACAACCCGTAGAAATATTCTCCAAGCTTCAATGTATAATCAAACATACTTCTCAGTTCATGGTTTAAAACTGTAAACATTGAACAATTTCCAAAAATCCAATATACTAATGATAATGATGTGCTTTCAAGATGTACTCCTCAAGTTCCAGTGAGAAGCCATTACAAGTGGAGTTCGACCCGTGTTGCGTGTGCAATTGTTAAAGTCCATAGATGATAGAGTTCACTCATTACTAAGGATTGGTTGGAGGTAGACATGAATATCTTTGGTTACCAACCTGTTGGTATATATTCATGCTCGAAAATCAAGGTCTCAGATTCGAATCCCGCGGAGGCGTTGTGGATATATACTGCTGAGCAATCCCATACTAGGACAAAATGACTGTTCTGTCCTTTCATATTTTGAATGATGCTCTAGATAAGATCACTTTGTGATTTAAACGTGAAAATTGTATAATCTTCAAATATTCTATTTACTTTACTGTATAAATACATACCATTAAAAATAACTTGAATGGTTATTGTTGTCCTTGTCCCAAATAACTGTTTTTTAAAAGCACTGATCTCGAACGACGACAAACCGACGTTTAACACTCATCCAGTCTGTAGGCATCGTAAACGTTCGCATTTTGGATCTTAAAATTTAAGTATAACCATCGTGCGACAACACTGAATTTTTTTCAGATAATAAAGTTGAGTTCATCCCAACAGTTTCTCGGTGTTAACTAGTAAAAGGTTTTGCCATTTGGTTTCTCAAGGGAACACATATTGACTTAACAATGTAATGAGAGTTTATCAGAATGATTCATTATGTCGAATATCCTTTTATACTGAACCAAAGTACTACTGGGTTAAAAGCTTTATGTAAATTTCACAACACAGTAAGATCGACAGGTATATATTATTTTGGTTACATAGTAAGCTTACTTACTTACTAACGCCCTCTTGTGGAGAAGTATAGGCCGCTCACCAGCATTCTCCAACCAACTCTGTCCTGGACAATCCAGTTGCTATTCATCCTTTTCATGTCTGCTTCCAATTCTGGACTTAATGTGTTCTTTGACCTTCCTCTTTTCCAATTCTCTTCAGGATTCCAAGTTAGTGCTTGCCTCATTATCCACTTCCAACGTCCTTTCTTAATTTTCTCTTCAGATGGAAACTGATTTGTTCTCTTCCATACTAGGTTGTTGCTGATGGTATCTGATCAACGAACATTGAGTATTATGTATAGAAAAAATTGTTTATAAATACTTGTACATAGTAAGCTTACTTTAATGTACTTCATTAGCTGCAATTGTACTTACTTTTAGTATTATTCGTCAGAACAATTTACAAAGTTTTTGAATCTTAATGATGATAAAAAGTTTGCAAACACTTAATGAAATACCTCTCATTTAAGTGGAAAATATAGGTACATTGTACAAAATGAATGAATGGAATATGTTCACGTTTTTAAAGAACCATTGCTCTCTTCTTTTATTATTATACAAACTTATTTACAAACATTGATTTGATTTGATTATTTTCAAAATAAGACAGCGGGAAACATTGCTAAAAATTTAAACCTACCAATCTATTTTTAACCAGTTTTCTTTGAAATGTTAACTTACATCATATCTCTATGGAATTTTAACTATTTTATCATTAATAACTGAAATAGGAAAATATTTTTGTTTTAATCAACTGTATCGAGAAATTGCTTTAAAAAGTGTCCAACTACTTAGCTCTTATCAGATTAAGATAATCTAATTACACTGATGTATTGTCTGATATAAAACAGTGATAACAGTGAAACAGTTTAGTATCAGTGAAATTAATTATTTGAATAGTTTTTTTCTGGTTAGCGTTTTCTAGAGTGTTAATTTTCTACGGAATAGGGTCGGTAACCCCATGCCCAACCTTCCTCCCTTATCCGGGCTTTGAACCTGCAGTAGCACTAGAGGGGCTCCAGGTGGAGTTGTTATTTATTTATTTGTATGGTGTATTGTTGTGAATATTTCATTTTAACCTATACCTAAAAGTGATCAATCTTGAAAGATAGAAAAGTAAAACTCATCAATATTTTGTTCATTTCAGGTTTTATTATGGTTTTCAAGAGTAATATTAGAGATGACAGATTAATATTCTGATTAATTTATAAAATCATGGGAACTAAAATTTGTCTCATTTGTTGAAAAGTGTTTAAACACTTATTTTTATTGCATATAATAGGTCATTGTATTTTAATATTACAAACAGTTTATAAACTATGTAGGCGTACAAAAGTTTACTATAGTAAACATTTACTAATCATTCACTTCTGGAATGATTAATCATTAGAGTGAATCGAATACTTTTGACATAATAATAATAATATTTCATCATTGTCAAACTAAATTCACATAACTACTGTAGTGTAGTAACGTTATTTGTATAATTATAGAAAGTTCAACATGAAATGACTTTTGATTATTGAGAGGAAATTTAATGAATACAATTGGTTGTATTTCTAATAACAAAATGTTGTTCATAAAAGTTATATTTATCATAATTTTCTATCATAGTTGAAAGGTTTCTTTAAATCAAAATGAAATAAATCTTTAATGATCCGAATGGATGTAAAACGTTTTAGGTTACTTCTCTGGAATGATAAGGGGGGGGGAGAAAGAAAGGAAAGAGGATATGAATTTCAAGTAGACTAAACAAATTACTTAAGGTTCTACTAATCAAGTGCTTCGTGAGACATTTATGTGTTATTGTGTATTATTTAATTGAGCTGAATTTATATTTAGCAGATGTGAATAAGCCACTTCAAAGGATGGATTGCATAATTCATTAGTCTGGTTTGATTTTTCTAAAGTCTGACCTGTTCAGTATTTTCAAACATGAAGGTGAACATATTTTCTAACATTAGACCATCATTATATTATAACAGGTTCTCCTCAACTGGTTTGTACGAATTTGTTGTTTTTGTGTTGTTTACCAGAATGTTTAAAGGTGTTGAAACTGAAATGTCAGAAGTGTATATAGGTTTAGCTCGTTTACTAATCTGAAGTGTAATTGGTTTAGTTTGTTAGTTGAAAAAAAAACTAGTGATTCTTGATTTTAAATCATTCATAGTGAATAAAAGAATGCAGATGTGTTTTCCTATTTTTTTATGTATAATTTACGCTAAGAATCATTACATCGTAATATTTAACGTTCAATTATTATGAACTCTTATGTAATCGAATTGAATATTTGATTATTGTACATAATCAGTATAGGATTGTGAAGATAGTTAAATTTAGATTAATATCATGAATGGATCAATGTTAGATCACTATCGAAAACCTGAGAGCACTGGACTGCCATCTCGTTCTAATATGGGACTACTCAGCAGTGAGCATTCACAGTCCTGCCCTCGGAATTCAAACCCAGGACCTTCGGTCTTGTACGTGAATGCCTAACCTCTAAACTACTGGACCGGCATCCAATGGTATTAATATCTAACTCCAACCAATCCACGATATTGCATGGCCGTTCAACATTGTCTTCAGTGAGTAACTGCCGATCAATTGATCTATATGTTAAGCGTTCGCATGTGAGACCGGAGGTCCTGGATTCGAATCCCGAGTGCGGAATCGTGAATGTGCACTTCTGAGGAGTCCCATATTGTACATAGTTCAATACATTTAACGCTGTTAAGGCATATAAGTTCATGGTAAAATGGTGAAGATTTGTAACTCATATGAATGCATTTGGGAATATCATAACTTTTGAATAGAATAGCAGCATAGCTTCCCACGAAACTTTATCTAAAGGTGAATAGAAAATCGAAGTGTGATTGAAGAATCTACGACAAAAGTAGCAACCAGATCAGTTTACTATTAATAAGAAATATTCAAAAAATCATTCAAAATGATTTCAAAACTCTTCGGAATCACTGTCATTTCTTG